CATCTCACCCCTGCCCAACTCCAACTCAACATGATGCTTCTAGGCTATTTAGAGAAACCTACTACGATTTAGAACAGACTAACTGTATTTTTTCCCAAATCTCTCAGTATCTGTATCCTGAGGCATATCTTCTCCTCCCCCATGCTCATTCCCAACACCCCTAGAGCTGCCAGCTGTGGCACATCACCAGCCGAGACACTGAGCCTGCTCCAGATGAGGAAATAAGACATTTCTTAGCCCATATGTGTTTTTACAATCCGCTTCCGCTGACTCACAGAGAAGGACCTGGCACAGCGATCTTTAGACAACAGCAATAAATACAAACACACCTTTTCAAAGAGATACATGATACCCAGTGCTGCTTGGTTTCTCTGTCTGCAGTAGAGGTTTTTTCCTAATTGCTTTTACTCAACCATTTAAAGTTTGGCTAATGATGTCGATCTAGTCTTTCTGTAAGACACACCTTTTTAAAGAGATAAATGATGATAATTGTCCCCCAAACGAAGAAAACATTGTGTGGAAAACGCGATGCGCCGTGTGGGCTAGAACAAGTCAGTTTTGGGGGGGAAAAAAAAAAAGAGGTGACAGCAGCAAAGCATGACTTCCAAAAAAGAATAGTAAGAATTCACGAGAAGCAGGGAAGAGTATCAGAGAAAGAGCTGATCACACTGGTGCCTCTTTGTGATGAGTATAGGGGTACAGCATATAGGGAAACCCCCAACCTAAAGGCAGTTTACAAAATACCTAGCAAGACCAAACTGGTGCCCCTGAAAACACGTCACAGGTACCCTCTAAGCAGGTTTTACTCATCGTAAACACGAAGCTACCAAACATGTCCTGCTAGGAGTGGTCGAGCCCGCTCTCCTTGAGCCTCCGACAGAGCCAAGCCGGCACAGAAAGCCAAGCCGATGCTCCAGCCTCCGACAAAGCCCAGCAGTGCCCGGCACCAGCGGCCCCTCCAGGTCCCGCGGGCTGTCAGGCACCAGGCTCCCGTTCGTTTGGCTCAAGGGTCGTTTAATGAAGGCGAGCAACTGCCCGGATGGCAACAGCAATAATCCGTGGGGCTGCTGGCAGCACGCGTGCTGACACTGACTGCTACGGCTGTGCTCCTGGTGAGGGCACAGGGAACTACAAATAAATTAGAACGGAGTTGTTCAGCACGCCTTATTGTTCTACAGCTTGTACTGGAATAATTTATGATTTCCTCATCACCTAAGCAGATATTTTCTCCTTAGGGAAGGCCAATGGCTAAAAAGCTCTCCTTCCCTTATCTTCCTCCCTCTTGTTTCCCCCCCAAAAGACAATTTAAAGGAGGAGGGTTAATATTTCACCTACAGAAGAGAAGAACAACTTAAAACACAATATTCAGCTCTTGCTGCTTGACGACTTTGTACTGATTCAAGTCTGCTCTGCCGCACCATCTCCACATCACAGGAGGCCAAGGAGCCAGCTCAGGAAACGGATGTGCCTGAAAACGGGTATTTTTTCAAACGCAAGAAGATTGAAAAATAAGTTGTTTTCAATCTGATGTAGTTTGGTATGTGGTCCACAATAGGGAATGCTGACAAAAAGGAAATGGAGGGAAAATTTGGCTGGGGAGGAAGTCTTGGCGAGTGCCTGTGCCTTGCCTAACCCTCGTTCGAGCTGGCACTGCCCTCACCTCTCACCAAACGGACGGCGGGCGAGCTGCGGCAGCAAGAGCAGCCAGAGACGACCCAAACCGCCTCGAGCTGCAAGGCCAGAACCACAGCTCCAGAGCTGGACTAAAAGGCAAAGAAAATACAGAAAGAAAAGTTTTTTGTAGAAAGGAAGCTTGTCCTATTTCCATGTTTACCGGATTTCAGGGTCTGTTTCTTTTCGATTCCCAGGAGTAAAACACAGAAAGACTCACAAACATTTGTTGACAACAACGGACTACAGCGATGGGGGGAGAAAAATAGGCTCTGGAGTAAGAGCTCCAGCTTCCTCATAAATCTGCACTGGAATAGAGTCTAGCCATTGTATTTCTAAGGCTGTTACAACAGAGCACAGCAGGACATACTCTCACCATAGCAACCCAGAAAACTGCCCTGTCGGAGTACGCTTCCACTCTCTGCAACGCCAATCTTTCCCTGTCCTTGCTTCTCAAAGAAAAGTGATCTATTTGGGCCCTGAAGTAGCACTCGAAGCCCGAGTCCCGCTCCCAGCACCGCTTAAAGTCTCCTTGCACTCCACCGAAGGGCAGCTGTGGGAAACACGAGTCAGTCACATCTCTCTGACGCTACAGAGAGTTACTGAAAAACGGCGTCAAACCCGGACAAGAGCCTTTCCAACTCCTTCAGTGCACACCAACCTTCTGGGGCCTGGCGCTCACTCTTTACGGCACACGCCGGAGAGGTTTAAGGATCCGAGATGAAGTTCTAGTGGTGTTCTTCACCACGTTACCCTCCTGCGCGGCACGATCGACCCCCGCCATGACGAAGGGGGCCCAGTTCGCAGCCTGAGCCCGGATGAAAGCGATTGCAGACCCAGTCACCAGACTGTGCCGTGGGAGCTGGTGCTGGGTGCCGATGGAGCACCTGCCAGCTGGGCAGCTAGAGGTGATCACGTCAGATCTACTGACCCAGAACTTCTCTGTTCAACCTCCTGTCCTTTAGTATTTTCGTCATATTTCATTGTAAGTATTTTATCGACACTTCATGACAAAAATCTGTTCTCATGCAATTTTCCTGCAGAAAGAAGGTATTTCATTGAGCACTTCTGGAGTCGATAGGATGTCATCCTTATTTTCCTTGAAGTAGAAACCCAGCCATTCCAGCAGAGAAACGCCGTATGTTATCCACCGAGACAGAATGGCTCTGTCACCATCCCCAGTTCACTATCACGTCCTGTTTGCTCAGGACAAATTGTTGCGAAGATTTTAAAGAAGTGACACTACAGGGATCCCTGAAGGGCAGGTATTAATTCCATACTTCTTATGGAACAGAAGTGTGTTATCTCCTTTATATCAGTAGAGAATTAAGCAGAAAAGCCAGAGGATGCGTTTTGGGGGTGCTGTGCATCCTACTCCCCCACAAACTAGATGAGGTCTTCCCTGGCCAGGGTCTCAAGAGATTACTGGTACTCAAACAGCTACTGAATCCTCCAATAGCCGAGCCGCAGAACTGCAAATATTATATTTAGCACTTGAAATGCTTTAAACTCGAACAGTCAGCCCTTACAACATGGGAGTAGGTGGTTCAGTGTTTTTTTTGTACTCAACTGGTTAGAAGAGTGTGGGGAGAGATGTACTTTTTGAAATAAATAATTTGGTCGAGAACTGAAAAGATGTTGCCACTGAAGCTGGAATCTGAGATCTGACGTCTATCTGCTGTTCACCTTGCTGCTTACCTCTATGCACAGCTGTGCACAATGTGCCCGCTTGCTCTTTTAAAGAAAAAGTTCAAATCTGGTTGGCCTTAAGCGAGGAAAACATTCAGTAGCTTCAGCAGGGTTTCTGCAGAGCCTCAAAGGTTTGATCAGGGCAGCCTGCTTTTCACGGGCGATTCAGCCATCCAGCCCTGCTGCCAACGCTTCCTCCAGAGCTCTGTAGGCACAACCGGATCAGAGCCTCCCACACGTCCGTTCGTCTGCATCTGGTCCAGTTGTCAGTACCGTCACGGAGGCTGAGATCAGCTCAGCTGTAGGACTGACGCGTGCTACCGGATAAAAGGAGGAAATTCATTCTTGTTTGCAACAATATCAGGTACAAAAAGATTATGGGATCCCTGCTATTCAAATCTAACTCCAGCAGTATAAAATGAGTGTTCTCATGTACCCAACAAGGCTACATAGCAAACTAATACTCTGCCGATGGCCCTGTTTCCTGATTTAAGAGGCGGTGCGTTGTGTGACGTGAGCAGCTGTACGCAGGTAAGCTGACAACTGAAAAACCAAAGCTGTTGGAATGGGACATCTTGCCTAGAAACGAAAAACCATCTCTGAGCACAGGGTTAACTTGAGAAACACTCTTGCAGCCTGTGATTCCAAAACACTCTGCAAAGAGCGATAGAGCAAGCTACTTCTTTTTTTACGGTCTGTGATGCTTTAAAGAAAGAGGGGAGCTAAATGCTGAAGAGATTCCTAACTGCCTTTGGGAGCATGCAGACAACCTACCGCAGACCTCTGGCATCCCGCGGCTCCCTCAACGAATACCTGACGGTAAACGGTGAAGCGCCTGCCAGCCGCAGCAATCTGCATAGTGCCAGATATCCCAACATCACACCACGGGATCGCATGGAGAACTTCTACTTTCATTTAGACTCTATTAAGGATTTTTAAAAGCCTTGGCTTCCTCTCTCACGAAGGCACTTGAGCAAGTAATCTACTCTGCAAGCAAAGGAAACTCCACTGAGATGACCCCCACAATGTTTTTATTGCCCAGTCTTTCATTCACTCTGTAGCCTTTTTGTTTTATAGGCCGGTCATGTACCTGCAGTAAGCAATCAAGATGCTTTACACTGAGACTTTGACCTGCAGTAGTCAGAGATTATTGGATATTGTTTGTCCTGCAGCCTCGGATACAGCTTTGGGATTGAATTTGGGGTAAAAATTTCCATATCGGGCCAACAACTATACTAACAACAACACACGCTCTCAAACTGAATTCGGCTTCAAGATCTGTCCGTCTCGCTCCTGCCAACAGAAACACCAGCTTACACACAGACTGATAAGGCTGCGTGATCAGAAGGAACGGTCATCTGCCCATTCATCGCATGGCATGAAAACATGATGCACGCTTCTTTCTTCCTTTGTGTTTTACTTGCTAGTCCTGCATGGCAAAGATCAGCTCTTTCATTTGTATACAGCCCACAGCAATAGGACCTGACTTGCAAATCTTCATGAATGTGCTATGTAGAAACTGCTTTTATCCTTCACGATGCATTAAAGGTTTGAAACTGGAGAACAAAAAAAAGTGGTTTTCGGGAAGTGTTATAGACAAGCAGAGTTCTCTCAGAGCAGTTCTTATGGCACGAAGAGAGATGAGGCTGCTCCGGAGCACCGAGCAGGAGGACAACTGCACGTGCACCCTGGGCTTTGTCCTGTTGCGCAAGAAATACCACTGCTTCCCATGGAGCCGAATCCGCAGTACGGTACCACCCAGTAAAAATGGAAACTATGGCTGCTGCTCTTTTTGGTAGAGCGTGAATTCACGCGTAAAGGATCTGTTTCTCGGTGTAGTCGCGTAGTCTTTCTTGCAAAAGGAGAGTCTCGCTCCCTGGCTGGATGGGTCAGTGCCTTGGATGTCAGAGCCCTGGCATGAGGTTTCGAGAATGCTGTTCCCACGGGGTCCAACTGCTTTCCTTCCCATACGGAGCATAGGTTTTGGGGCAAAAATTCTCTGGATTTTTATTTCAGGCAAAAATACATTGACCAAGCTTTAACCATGCAGTTTGAAGTTGCTTTTATGTGACAGCATTTTGATCACGGCCTGAGAAGTGTTGCTACTAAAGTGCTCCTAGGAAATCTCAAGATTCATTTTTTATTTGAGGTTATCAACATTTTAAAATTCAAAACACCACTCAGGCAGCCTTTTTGCTGTGCTTAACTAGTTCCGTGTTTAGGAACACACCTTTACCTAGGAACACAGATTGGCAAAGAAATCCTTTTATCCTATTTCTTTTATTTTCTGCTTCCCGTATGACTCCAGAACAGGAGAACACGGGGCTCTTGAGACTATATCGAACACTCACACACTGATGCTAATGACCTCTGTCGATCGGTTTCCATTTCAGACTGATACAGGTGTTTCCAGGAAGGGTGCTCATTCTCCAAGTTCTTCCGTGGGGAACAACAGCAACAATCCATCACAGATAAAAGCCCAACGGAGCACATCAACAACAGGTTAAACTGCCTCCACTGTCTGATATGCCAGAGGCAGGGCACCGCTGTTCTCTGTCAGCCAGGCTTCTCACGCGTGCCTGCTGCTTCCTTGCTCACGCATACTGCTCGGGCTGGAAACTGTTGCCTTGAAGCATTACAATTCCCAGCTGAGCAATACCCTTCCCTGCCGACCTGCCGCTCTGGAGGACGGCATAGCTGGAGTCTGATCCCAGGGGACAGAATGGTGAGGAGAAATGAAAATACTGTAGCTCAGACCTGTTTTTTTCTCTTTGGTGAAGTGAATACCTGCTCCCTTCAGTTCCTCCGAAGTGTTAACGTGAAAGTTAACTTGTACAAGCATCCACACATTCGGCCACAGCACTGAGGAAACATTTTCATGTCTATATTCGACCATCTGTGCATCCAAATGTTTTAGAACGTTAGCGTCCGCTTTGAATAGACGGTATTGTCAGTAAACCCTCCTCTTCCCCCAGTTTCATATTTTCATATTTTAAAAAATGTTTTCCTTTATTTATCACTAAATTCAACTCCCGGTAAGAGTCTGCATAAGGGAATCAAACAAGTCTTCAGAGCCTTAGACAATTAGCACACCCTCATCACGCTCCAGTAATTATCTCCCCCGAGATGTCAGTTGGGATGCCACACTGCTCTCATCACTGCGAGGTTCCCGTGGGGGAAATTAAGAGGCAAAGCGCCGAGATCACTCAGATGCCACGTTCACCGTGGGTACACCATCGATCTCCCAGTCTTTCTGCGTTTGACTCCAGCCGACAAACGGCTCACCAGCAACCACAACCAGCACAGCTGTGTTTGTTCCAGGCCACGGGTGGCGGGTCAAAACGGATTAGCATGACACTTGTTCTTTACTTACGGGGAGGAAAAATTCTTTAGTGAAGCAGTGCTGCTCAGAGGACACGGGCACTAGCGTCTTGGGAGGCATCAGGGAGAAGAGTGCTTGGGTGTGTTAGCGGGGTTTTTGTGCATGCGCTTTCGCTCCTTTTCCTTCTCCCCTTTGCTGTCTCCTCCGCAATTCACCCAAGAAAAGTCTCCATTCTCCATTTAATGTCGCTTCTCTACCCGCAGGACCCCTTTGCTGCATTATTCTCCGAGCCCCAGAAAATGCCTGACTCCCTTCCCAGGTCCGTAACACCCTTTTTATCCCCAAGCGGCATAAAGATGTTCGTAGACCAAGTTGAAGTTCTTCAATCCATTCCATCAAAAAATGATGCAAGTTTTCTGATTTTAAAATCCAGTATCCCGGTTCCCAGCTACGCGTCTCCACACTGCTATCCCAGAAATTGCCAATGGCTACTTCAGCAAACTGGAAAAACAACAGCTACAACAACTCCAGCATTACCCACCCTGCTTGGTGTAACGCGTGCAGAAAGGAAAGCAGCCCTTGTAAGATCTCAGCAGTTTCTACCAGCTGTAAATATTTCAGGGAACTGTGCGTAGCTGGGCTTCTCTACACTAAACTGGGAAATTCGCGTGCTGCCGCTTTACCCAGGATTACCTAGCGATGCGTTACAACTCCCTGCTTGATTTGCACTGAATGGGCATCAGTCAGAGCCAAATTTCAGGACCGTATGCTTGATAAATTGTGACTAACACCACATTGTATTGCAGTAACCAACTGTTTATTTCACGGTTGCCAACGTTATGCAACTCTTTTGAAAGATTCGGAAAAACAGATGTGCGATACACAAAACCCAGGACAGCCACGTCCCCGCCTACACCAAGCTCCACGCAGGGACTGCTGATCTCAGGTCTTGCGGAGAGCACACGCAAAGCCCACTGAAGTTGGCAGGAGCATTTCTGCTCACCTTTCATCAGGGGAGATGGATTCAAGTACGCTGTTTGTTGGAGAAGTACTTGAATACAATCCCATCGCACATTCCCATTTGGTGCCATCCAATATTTAAGCAATTTAAGAGTATAAGGCATGAACATTTCCAAGTCGTGGGTAGCTTATAAGAAACCCTATTCGATAGGGAAGACAGTTTCCTCTTCTGTTCTTTGTCTTCCTGAAAACAGTTGCACAGGAGCAAAATCCACGTTCCACCACACTATGTACTCACTGGCCTACTGATCAATGTATGACTTAGAAAACCGATTTTCATTTATTGTCAGCATTTTCATTTTTTAAAATGTGTTCCTTTCTTTTCTATGCTATCTTTGAAAGTTCATACAAGGCCACTAGCTTATACCTGGGACTACTCCTAAACCTGCTGAAATTCATAATCTTACAGGAGGATGGGACAGAGCTCTTCCAAGGAAGGACCAGTATATCCATGGCTCTGTGTACGTGCATGACTGTTACAAAGCATGTATTAAAAAGCCAGTGCCACAACTTCCGTTCAAGAACAAGCGGACGGAGGTACAGATACTCCCATCCTTTCTGCTCACGGGGAGCACCACAGCACAGCCCACGAGCGCGGGGTCCCCAGTAGTTGGTCTCACTGGTCTAGGGAATACAGCAGCCTGCAGCTTCAGTTTTCAGTTGTCCGTAGAGATGAAAAAAATCCATTTCTCGTTATTTTCTCATCTCCTTCCCTACTATGTATGATTTAGGCTTGAGTTCCTGTACGTTTCAGGAAGTTGTACGGAGACCCAAGCCCAGAATGGGAGCAGGTATGGACTGTCAGTGGAAGGGACGGCCCATGAAGCTCGCGAGTGCTTCCAGCACCCAGCGGTTTGGGTGGGCTGGGGACACTGGACCCCGCTCCGGTGCCGAATGCCAGATTAACAGTACGGAGGAGCTGTCCCCCAGCCTGGCTGCAGGCTGGGGACGGCGGGTGCAGAGAGGGCTGCCGGGCACGCCCAGCCTCAGCATGGCAGCGACCAAACCTGAGAGACGAGAGCTATTTGGCAGAGGATGGGAACTCTGGGTGTCCGCCGGTGCTCCCGCGCCAGGCCACGTGCCGGCTCAGGGCACGTTTGCTTTGATGGAGGGAGCAGCGTGGCTGCGGTAGCGAGGAAGACGAGGTTTTCGCAGCAGCGTTTTGACCTGACTGAAGTAAACGCACGCTTTGAACACATGTGAGGAAGTTGTGGTTTCCGTCTCACCATTTGCTGGGATTGTGCCCGGCACGGTGCAAACACACCACAACAAAGGGTGAATAACACATGTGTGACAAGGGCTGAGGAGGGACCGCCCGGCCCTCACCCCCTCGGCCGCGCCACAGGC